CATATGGAATCTCAAGGAAAGAAGGTCCATCGGAAAGTAGAAATAAAGTTGCGACTCACGTATATAGTCACGTTCTCACGATCTCACGTATTACAAGTTTACAACTGTCAATCTTACATTCTTAGGCTTACCAGATAGAGCGTGTATCTTTTTTTTTTTTTTTTTTTTTTTTTTAAAAAAAAAAATTACAACTAGATTAAGCTAATAATTAAGTTAATAAAGTTATCCACAAAGATATTAAATATACAAGTATTTTGCATAAAAAAACATGAAAATAATTAAACAAATATGGGATAACTTTGTGGATAACTTTTTTTAAGAGTATTTTATAACTTTGTGGATCAATCCAATTCCATACTCGTACATCTACTTCATAATAAGACTTGCAATATGCATCGGTATCATTTTTATAATGACTACTACTCTGTAAGAATTATCCAACTTTTAACCAACACTCCAAAGTCTTAATCCAGTTTTTCATGTTTCATGATGATCAAACATTCAAACCCATAAAATAACTCATGGTTGATCAAAATATCAGTTTATTCTTCCATCAAAAAAAAAATTGGTTTATTCATAGTATGACTCAAAATAAATCATCACCAATTATAAAAGCCTTTTAATTTGCTCTAATGACTCAAAACAAAAATTGAATTTTGAATGTGATTGTTCTAAAAAAATAAATAATAATAAAAAATTTAAAAATAAAAACCATAAAAATTTAATTAGCACATTAATTTTTGTACACCTTTGTTAAAGAACAAAATGATATTTGGGTGAACATAACAACTTTGGTTCTAACAAGTCCACAATTACTGAGCTATTACAAGTAAGTAATATCAGGCTCCATCATGGGCTTCTATTTGATAAGTGGGCCGGATAGCATATAGCCATAGCATATACCCTTCAAAATCTTTGATCCAAATTATGTCGCTTGAGAAGTTGAGATTTACCAAAATTAGGATAATTGGCTATCATCTCTCATCCAAACTCACTTTCTTAAAAATTCGGTGTTTAAATACGCAATGGCGGATCAAGAAAAAATATTTAACGGGGTCAAATTGCATTTGATAAATTTTTTTGGGGTCATTTGATAAAAAATACAAATAATTTTTATGTGAGTAAGTACACAATTTAATTTTGTAGGTTTTTTTTTTTTTTTTTTTTTTTTTTCATGTTTGGTCATGTGCATCCGCCACTGTATATACAAAGTCCAAAATACTCTCTGACCATTGATATTTTTTTGAATTCAAAATTTATAAAAAGTTGAATATTGTTTGAAAAATCTGACCATATTTAAAGAAATATGATTATATGAAGAATTTTAAGGAACAATGAAATATTATTGACTAATGTCCACTACGGACTATTACGTGGTTACTTACATTGGTATGCCCAGCCAATTTGTATTGGACTTTGGATTGGGCTATTTGGACAATTGGACATTAATTTTGTAAAGGTATCAATAAACAAACTATTTATTGAGATAAAGTGTTTTTAAAGCTTGTTACATTTAATGAATGATGATTGTTGGATCTATAATTTCAAAAATTCATCATAATGATAAAAATTCATCATAATGGTTCTCCATATCATCATTATTTACTTCAACCACTAATCTTGTGGAACCTTGCTTAACTTATCATACATGATTGATCAGATGTTTTTTATAATATAACATAGTATTGTGTATATAATGATAAAAGAGAAAGTAAACTTTATATAAATGTATGATTATTAATTCATTCTCCTACTATATGTATTGAGACATCATCATCTATTTTCAGCCTGAAACAGCTTGGCCATATTGTTTATATATATATATATGTTAGATGATTTAGTTGGTTAAAATTTTAGGTGCACAGAAAGATTATCTCTTAAGACTTGAATTCAAATATTGTTTATATTACTTAAACAAAATACTTTGTATTGATAAACCAATGAATAGAGAAGAAAACAAAACTAACACTTTCAACTTCTACGAAGAAGGTCAGTCATTCAATTACCAAGAATAGCTAATTGGCCTTGTTTATAAATAGTATGTTAAATAAGGGTTTGGGCAGTATCTGCAACCAAAAGAGAGATAGAGTTCACTTCACAAGATTAAATTAAAAGAAGTTCCATCCCAAAATCATAATAGCGATAGTAGGAGGAGCCTTTTATTATTATAGAGTGTTGAACTCTCCCTTCTTTTTCATAATGTGACACTTACATGTATTGTTTTAAAAGTTTATATATTGTTTTGAAAGTTTATACTTTAACATTTCCCTTCACATGTATGTAACTATGTAAGGTTTTCAAAAAAAATGTAAAGTTTTCTTAAATTTCGTCTCATGCAATGTTTTATGGAGTTAGAGTACTTTTTTTTTCACTCTCCCTCACACGGACCTCACTCAATGTGGCCGAGTGTACTCATTACTCAAGTCATTAGAGGTCTCATACCATGGGCTTGGCTCTGATACCATGTTAAATATTAGAAAAATAATTCTTTGTATTTCCTCATTGTTTTTTTTCGATAATATCTTCTCATTCATAGTATTCGGTCAAGTTACAATATATATAGACAAAATCCAACCATAATATTCTTTAATATTTTAACTTCCTAAATTTATTCACAATATCTCACATGTAACTTTATAGTATTATTTATTCTCATAATATCATATCACAATTTACATTCCTATCTTTCCCTAAAAAATAAATAAATAAATAAATAAATAAAATTGCATTCCTATCTCAATATAGAATCAACTCTTCTAAGTTCTTATAATAGACCCTTAAGTACAATACTGCCATCTCACGCCAAATAATTCTTACGAAGTATGTATTAATACAATGATTACACTTAACTTTTCACACTTGTTAATGCAAAAGTTTGAACTTAATATATTATGTTATACGCAACCATAACACTATATTAATTCCTACACTTGAAGTAATTTTTTGTCATCTTATGGGTGGAGATGCTCAACAACAGTACAGGATGCTTTGCATATTTAAATTTACCCTCCAAAGCTGGAAGGTTATATAATATGTTATATGCTGACTGAGAAATACGTAGTAAAGAGTAAAGACTAAAGAGCATGGCAGAAAAGATGTGGTAAGGAAACAAAATTGAAAATTCTAATTACTAGTACTTCGTAAAAAGTAAATTCCACTATAAATTTTGTGGTTCATTGATAAAGGATGTACGTGCCCACATGTTCTGCCTTCTTCTGATTCTTGTCTTGCTTTATAATTATGGACCTCTGGAATTTAATTCATGAGTATTGCTTACATAATTTAATTTATAACTGAATTGTACAAACTTATTCAATAAGCATAATCAACCCTACTTACTATTAGTAGTAGAGGTGATCGAGTACGTCCGGTCCCGATTCTAAGAAAATTTAAGTTTGAATTGTAACATTGTTATTATTAATATGTATGGTACAACTCCTTGAATATTATTTTGGTTTTAAAATGCTAGTCTACCCAATCTATAATATCCCATCTCTATTAGACCAGGTTTACCAACAAGAGTTGGCTCGTGGTAAGCAACTTGATGTCGTTTAAGGGAGGTCTCGGGTTCGAGTCTCGCCGTATGCAGAAACTTTTATTCGGAGCCTCACCCACCATAAGTCAGGTGTGCTATCCAAGTCGGATCCGGATGTAGTCGGAGTTAAGCTCCAGTGAGTCGCAGTTAAACTTTTAGACCAGGTTGATATTAGGTTAGTCAATGATCTACTCAATCTACCGTTCATCACATTATTGCATGTATTCTAGTCAATCAACTTGACTATTTTAAGGCATTCACAATTGTAGCCTTGTCTAAACTCTTCTAGATACAAAGTTAAAAATTGAAAGTTGTAAGGAAGCAATGTCAGTTGGTACAAATGGTATTTCTTGAGCTCATAAAATTATCAATATAACACAGTTTTACCTCTAGTTTATTAATTAATCTCATCGTTAATCGTAAAAACTCGTCGTAATTAGCAACTCCGATTCCCGTTAAATATCATGGGTTGTTGATGTCAATAAGCTATACATGCAGTAGTTTATAATTAGTCCCATACTTTGTTAACTGTATGTAGCAGTAGCCCATACTCATCCCACACAACTCTTTATAGAAATAAGTCAAAATTAAGTCAGAAAACTAAAGTGATTCTTTGCTTCAACAATTAGGAGTAAATGTCTCTTGTTTACTTTATTGCATCTTTTTTGTCTTACTTAATTAAGTAAAAAGCCTTATATATAGGAGGCTGCCTAAAAGCAATCTACTCTCAATAGTAAAACATTATTATTTTCTTACCTTTTTTATGATTTTAAATGTAAAAGAAAACCTAAGGTAAGATCATGATTTAAGCTAGATATTCTTGTTTTATCTTCATCATCTTAGAATAATGTAACTACTGTTACATTTTAACTAAAGTTGCTTATTTGGCTTATTTCTGACTAGTCATTGGCTAATTTGGTTTATAAACTTTTAAATTTAGGTATGGTTAGATTCATAATTTATACAATACTTTGTAGTAAAGACTTGGTACTAAAATTCAATTTTATCAGTATTTGGCATTTTGGCCAATTTCAAATACATTATAGTTTAATGACTTTTTTTAACAATAATAACGTGGTTTATAAAATAAGAACCACCTCTCCCAAAAGTCACAATCTTGTGGCCCCCAAAGATATAAGAAGGTCCATTTTGTGAAAAGCATGTTTTTAGTATTTGGTTTGAGTAAGCTAACTTGACAATTAGTATTATTGTACACAGTAATTAGAGTAACATATATACGAATGGTATAAACTTTTGTTTCCACTCACTTTAACCTTTTTTTTCCAATAATCTAGCCTACGATGAAAAATGATTAATTAGATGTTAGGTATCAAATAGTAGTATATAGAATATCTAATTTTTTTAATTGATAGAGTAAGGTTAAATGGTTAAGAGTACGCCACCTAACAGTCACACTAATTAATTTTCTTTCCAACAATATAAATATTAGCCGTTAAGCTAGCCATTTACAAAATCTTTGCAACCCTCCTTTGTGAAGGAATCTTTTAATGGATAATTGAAGCATAATAACAAATAAATTGTACTAATCTCTCATTAAAACCTTCTTAAGAAACCTTAATCTCAGTTTTAGAAATCTAGAAAATTAAACAGATAAAATTCTCTCACTACAACAATATATATACATACATTTGTCCCCTTCCATCCTGCCAAACTCTCCATTCAACCTACATCTCATAAAACCAACAATGTCCAAACCACTCAACCTTCACTTGATTCTATTCCTATTCTCTTATTTGTTCCTACATGTTAGTTTTTTTCTCCTTTATTTTTTTTTTCTTGTATTTTAGTTTGTTTTGTTACATTAATTATTAATGTCATTTTATAAATGCAGGTATCATTTGCAACAGATGAACACAAACAAAACCCATTTACACCAAAAGCCTCATTAATCCGTTATTGGAACACCCACATTTCCAACAACCTTCCACAACCAACCTTCCTAATCTCCAAAGCATCACCCCTCAACGCCGTCGACACCGCCTTTTTTACAAAACTCGCCTCCGAAAACACCCTCAACACCCGCCTCTCCACCTTCTGCTCCGCCGCCAACTTATTCTGCGACTTTGACACGTCATTGCAAACCCACCGCCGTCCCCTAACACCTCCGCACAAAGATGACGCAAACTTTGCCTCCTACAACAATAAACAGTTCACCACTTATGGTGGGTCCCGCGTTGGCGGAGCTGATACGTTCAAGAACTACTCGGATAACATCAACATGCCCGTGAACTCGTTCACTCGTTACAGCCCTAACACGGCGGGTCACGGTGAACGGTTCACGAGCTACTCGGATAATGGCAATGTTGCTAATGATAGTTTTAGCAGTTACGGAGCAGGTGCGACGGGTGGATTAGGTGAGTTTAAGAGCTATGAGTCAAACGTGAATGTTCCTAATCTCAAATTTAGTAGTTACAGTTCTAACGGTAATAATCATAAGCAATCATTTAGTTCCTATACTGAGAATACAAATTCAGGTACCGAGGTTTTTACCTCTTATGGTAAAAATGGGAATGGGGTCCCTACCGAGTTTAACAACTACGGTAAGTCCTCGAATATTGTCGGGTCAACTTTTGCCAGCTATGGGCAGTTGGCCAATGCGGCCAATGATTCGTTTAAGGGTTACTCGTCTAGCGCGAATAACCCTCATAGTACTTTTAAGAATTACGGGGCTAAGGTAAGTTCCGGGGTTGAGAGGTTTGAAAATTATAGGGATGAGGCGAATGTTGGGGATGACACATTTCAAAATTACTTAAGGGATTCCACGTCTACCAAAGCGAGTTTTGTTAATTATGGGAAGTCTTTTAATCAAGGGCTTGATAAGTTTAAGGGGTATGGTAAAGGTGCGGTTAATCGTCAAATTGAGTTCAAAACTTACGGTGTTAATAATTCTTTTAGTGGGTATGCTGATAAGAAGGGTGTTAGTTTTACAGGGTATACCCAAAGTGTACCTCAAGGTGGTAAATTGGTAAATAAGTGGGTTGAGGAGGGTAAATTCTTTAGAGAATCTTTGTTGAAGCCTGGTACTATTATGAAGATGCCTGATATCAAGGATAAAATGCCTAAAAGGTCGTTTTTGCCCCGGGTTATCTCCTCGAAATTACCATTTTCGACATCTAAGTTGGGGGACCTAAGGGGAACCTTCAAGGCCAAGGAGAATTCTACTCTAGAGCGCATTATTGTGAACGCGCTAGGTGAGTGTGAGAGGCCGTCGAGCCCTGGTGAGACCAAACAATGTGTTGCTTCGGTAGAAGACATGATAGATTTTGTAATTTCGGTCTTGGGTGACAATGTGGCGGTCCGGACTACGAAAAATGTGAACGGATCGGGTAAGCAGGTCGTGATCGGGTCAGTAAGAGGGATAAATAGGGGTAAGGTGACAAAGTCAGTATCGTGTCACCAAAGTTTGTTACCTTATCTACTTTACTATTGTCACTCTGTCCCTAAAGTAAGAGTGTATGAGGCAGATATATTGGACAAGAAAAGTAAAGCTAAGATAAATCAAGGTGTTGCAATTTGTCATCTTGATACTTCAGCTTGGAGTGCAGGGCATGGAGCCTTTTTGTCATTGGGTTCTGGGCCGGGCCTAATTGAAGTTTGTCATTGGATCTTTGAAAATGATATGACATGGGCAGTCGCGGATTAATTTTAAAGACATACGGAATTGCAGAGTACAAAACATGAAAGATCAAATTAATTGTACTTGATACATTGCCGAGGTTGTGTTTTTGTTGTATTTCTAATATTTCACAAGATTTGTACGGAGTATTACATTATATTTATGAGAAAAATTGATTTGCTACCGAGTGATTATTTATTTGAGCGATTTAATTACTGCTAATTTGTAACTAAATCTATGTTCAAATGTTCAATTCTATAGTAATAGTATGATCATAAATTTACTAACATGAATGATGGTGTTTGGAATATTGAATATGCTCATCATTTCTCATATTCATGCTTGGATCAGAGGGCAGTGACTGATTATTTCTAGCCCCACAAACAACTGCTAGACTGCTAGCAGGCGTGTACTCTACTATATAATCATGCCGATTATATATTTATCCTTTGCCAACCTCTGCCCCAAAATTAAGCTAAACATTTCATACGTACGGGCTCATCTTTAATCTTGTTCACATTTATTGAATTGGGCTGAACTGAAATGATTAGAGTTGAATTGAACTGAATAGATTTAAAATGAATATTTTATGAGAGAATAAAATTAGGAGCTGAACTGAACTGAAATTAAGCTGAATTGAACAGACCCTAATTTACACATTTAATTACATTACGATCAACATCACAAAATTAATTTTATGCTAAAATCAAATTTGAAACAAGTTATAACAAGATCTCACTTAATGGTATTCATCATAAAAATTCAACTATCTTGACTTTGGCACTATGTTCAGTATTGAGAAGAGTAAAACTAGATTCCACATGCTACGAAGGGCCTGTTCTCATACATTTATTTTCATTTTAGTTCATTTCAGTTCCTAATTTCCTTCTCTTATAAAATATTCATTTTAGTTCAGTTCAGTTCAGCTTAGTTCATTTCAATTCAGTTCAGTTCAGCTGATTTCATTCTATTAGAACAGGCCCAAAGTATTTTATATCTTTTGGTCACATATATAAAAGTGAGTCCAAATTTCATAAATAGAGTTAGTACTTTGTACAAGTAATATAGTATTTGCACTTAATTTAGGGCGGAAAGTCGGACAGCCATTATGTTGTAACTTGTAAGTGACCCAATGACATGAGCAGTACTTTACTACTACATAAAGTTTCCCCTTAATCTCTACTACTCATAAAAGGGCAATGTGGTGCTCAAAAGATCATCATTTTTTGGGTTTGGAGGTTGGGGAACATAATTTAGCTCCTGCTATATTTACAGATAACAACTTACAGGAAAAATTAAATGGATAACAAGGCAGAGTATTATTAATATCAACCCTGTTTCTTTTAATAATTGAACTTGCAAAACTTGATTTTAAGATGCAGTTGGTGTAGTGTCCTTATGTAGATGTGATTTTTGGATAAGGTATAAGAACTTTTCAGCTAATCCATCAAATATTTCATTAATTGTCTTCCCTATCTTCACATGACCAACATGTATTACTCCCTAGAATTTTTCTCAAGAATTTAGTTTTTACACAATGATAGAATTATGTATCTTTTAAATCTAGCTTAATGATGTTAAATCTGATACACCTTAAAACGATGTGTGAGAGTTGCACGATATTTGCCTTTACGGCTTATATAGTTATATGTTTCAAGCTTCATCTAATTGGTTGTTCTAGTAGAGTAGTAGTCCATGAAAAATTAGCTAGATCATTTGGTGTATCAAGTTATAGTGCACCTTAACAATTGATCGCCACTCATGCACAATGCTCGTGATGACATCTACTAGAGCTAGTGTAGTAATTCAGGTCTTCAAACGACCACTATAAAAACATCCTTAGGGTAGCATAATTTTTGGGATTTTATTCCATTTATGCTACTAACTATTTCTTTTAAAAATTAAGTTCTACATGTTTAACTACAACTCATAACGCCTAAAATAATCAAGGTGTTTTGAAGATATTTCTCTTCTATATATTTCTTATTCACATTTTCACTTTGTTTCATACTAACCTCTCCACATAATAATCTAATCTTTATTGACATTATACTCCGCAATAGCTTAAAGCGCACGGTGCAGTGTGTGCATGATACACTGCACGCTCTTACGGCACTAGCACAGTAAACCCTCCGCACAACGACGCAATCACCCGGGATTACGACCAGTAGTAACCGGACTCCTCGATCTCTTTTGACATATATATCATTCCACGGCATATAAGGATTAACTAAGAACTGCTCATAGTCATATAGCTTTCGCTTTGCACTACCATGAAAAGCATGCATGTACATAGACGACAGAAGTCCCTTAGAAAAGAAGTAAAGCACAAGTATCAATAAAGGATGATCGATATATTCGCAAGTACGCGTATGTTTGCCAATAGGTGCTCGTACGTTAGACGTGTCTAATTTCAGAATAAAGGAATTTGGCATGACAAAATTGACAATGTAGTTCAGTGTTATACTATCATCGATATTGTAAATATACCCTAGCTAACTAGCTTTATTCCTCCATATATAGTGCGCATGTATGGACCGACCCCTAACATCTAGTGTACGTGTACTATTTACTAAGGTTATACTCAGTCAGTACCTTTTTTTTTTCTTTTTTATCCCTGTATATATTATATACTTCATCTGTTCTTTTTTACTTGATCCACTTTGACTTTTACACTATTCACCACCCCTTCTTTGACCGTGTTTTGTGAATAATATGTAAGGAAAAACATATTCATGTTGGATCATTTTGAATTCGTCTCAATAAGTACTATCATAATTTATAACTTTTATATTTTTTTTATTATGGAGAATTAAAGTTATTAACCGTTAAATTTTTGCATTGGCAAACGTAATAAAAGAAACAGGTCAAGTAAAAAAGAACAGAGGAAGTAATACGTACAAGAAATTCAGCCTTTTTATGACGTGAAAAGCATGTAATTCCACCTGTTGTGTCTTATTGGTTAAAATGTCCATTGATTAAAGATGTACTAGCTACCCATATTAGTTAATTTGCATGTTGGGACTGGCCCAATCCAAACACAAGCCAAGCCCAAGATCATCTGTAGATAGCTAGATATATTTCGAATAAAGAATTTGGATACAAATTCTTCTATGGACCCTGGTCCATTTAGAAATAGGTGGACCACGTCTATACTTTTGAACATTTAGTAAAAGAAATTGAACAATTGCAACTTTTGAACATTTAGTAAAAAAATCCAAAGATCGCTAATTTTGAACATTTAGAAAAAATTATCTGAAAATCGCAATGTATCGCACTTATACTTATGAACATTTAGTAAAAAGAGAACAATTGCAAATTTTAAACATTTAGTAAAAAAAATCATAACATCGCAAATGTTGAGCATTTTGTAAAAAATCTAAACAATCGTAATGTACCACCCCTGTACGTTTGACCATTTACTAAAAAAATCTGAACAATTGCATACTTTAAACATTTAGTAAAATAAAAAAAAAATATCTGAACATCACAATTTTTGAACATTTAGTAAAACAATGTGAACAATCGCATAGGTTTTTAGCGAGAATGAAGTTTGTAGCGTAAATTGACCGGTGGTCCAGCTACATTAGTTGTACGCTTGCACCATGGTTCACAATAGACTTATTGGAATTTGGATACCAAAAAATAAAAAATAAAAAGATTAAGAATTAGTTTTGCGTAAGCGAGTATACAATACAGAGACATAAAAGGATGTGCGCAATTTGGCATTCTCATGACCCAATAGGCTCAATTGGCCCATATCAGATTGTTCTTGGGCTGGTCATTGGTATCCAAGTTTGATATTAAAAATTTTAATTAATTATAACGAGGTGCATTTCTTTTCCTTTTTTTCCCCCCTTATTGGGATATAAATTCAAGATCTCTTTGTTAAAGTCTTTTACATAATATTTTAGAAAATCCCAAAAACATGTGAAATGAAGACTATAGGGAATTTTTCAAATTCATTATTGAAACATTTTAGGTCAGGTTAGGGGTATGGTCAAGGCTTAAGGAATTTTACGTGACTTTTCAACTTTTTACTAAACTCATTAATCAAAGATGTGAAAGGTACTCATCACTTCTGAGTTTGGTTTTTGGGTATTTATTCAAAAGTAATAATAATAATAATAATAATAATAATAATAATAATAATAATAATAATAATAATAATAATAATAATAATAATAAAGATAGTGAGTTTGGTGGGGACCATGAGATGAGACATATATTATATTTAAATGTAGTTTTTTGTCAAAAAAAAGAAAGTGTAACGGTTATTAAAACACGTCCGCATTTGATAAGTGTAAATGTGTAACATACATTTATTGAAACACCGATGGAATAATACTATAAAAAATTCCTAACTAATACTCAATATTCTATAAAGTGTGTACTTTAATACAGCTCACATGATGATAGCCCGTATGAGATTCGAACTCATGACATTTGTATTGATCATGTTTGCTTTAATACCATGTTAAAAAATTAACTCAATAAAAAACTTAAACTAATGGTTGAAACTTATTATATACTTTATCAAGTTTATGCTTAACATTGCTTTTTACATGATTTAAGCCATTTTTTATTCAAATTTCATGTTAAATGAACTAATATAGTTGAAGTCAAAATATTTTCCAAGTAATTATTTTCCTACTTAGGCCAACCAAGCATTGATCTTTTTTTGAAGTCAAAATATTTTTTCCAAGTAATTAATTTCCTACTTTTCAAGGCCAACCAAGCATTGATCTTTTTTCTTTCAATAACATGCATCTCAATAGTTTATTTATTTCTATCAATAATTATCATAAACAATTTGAATATTCAATCTAATGGGTATTATAATAAGGATTTAATCATTCTTTTTTAGGATACACCACCATGTTCCTCTTCACTTATATAATAAAGTTTTTTTTTAAAAAAAAAAATCAATTCTTTTACCAAGGACAAATCAAATAACAAAATTTTAAAAAAAAAAATTCGTAAGGTGAAGTTACCTATCAATTAATCCACTTACCCTCACAAAATTTTCGTTTTCTTAGTCATCTCTCTTATTATATGATTTATATCCACTTTGTTTTTACACCCACCCAATCTTTTACATTATTTTTCTTTACTTTATTAACCACCTTTTTTTTCTTACATTTACCCACGCACTTCCAAATCTTCTTAAAAAATAAAAGAATTATATATATATATATATATATATATATATATATATATATATTTATATATATATATATATATATATATATATATATTAAAACGAATTGCATATATAGCTTTGTTGAAGTTTTTGCACCTCAATTAAGGCTATGCTTGGTTAGCCTTAAAATTATTATTTATGCTTTAAATTTAAGTAGTCTAGTCAGATTTAAAAATAATGCCTTTGTTGATTATATTATTATGTGTAACTACTTTGGAAATTATTTGTAAAATATTTTCTTTTTAAGTTGCACGTAATAAGTAACGCATGTAGAAGAGAAAAGCATAGAGGTCACATGATTACATGAAGCAGTTCATGATAAGCAAATAAAGCTGATGTTCATACATTAAAAACAGGTCCAAAGAAGAAGAATTCGGCTAGACCTTATCGTTCAAATTAGGGTGAAATCAAACATGCCCAAAATCAACGGTACCACTAAGAGTCTTGGTCTTAGACAAGACTACACAAGAAGAGAGTATACGTCGTATTCAAGCAACAAAATCCATAAGGAAAAATTAAATAGGGCGGTTAGACCGTTTTATTATTTATTTATTTAATTTTTATTTTTATCTTTGTTTTGCAAGTGGCCAAATGCAAGTAAGTGTGAACTATCATGAAAAACGGCAAGATCTAATATATTAGTACTGAAATAGTGAAATGTCATGGAATCTACATTTATATAAATATAATAATTGATCAACAAAACAATATAATTTAAAATAAAATTGCATGCTTAGTTATTACAATACGAGTATCATGAAAAGAAGTTACGAGAACCCTTCTTCATCTTCAAAGCATCCGCAGCAAAGAAACAGTAGTAGATCTCAATTCAATCAACTTTGCTCCAATCTCACTTCTATTATTCCTCCTCAACATTTTCATAATTCAGTGGTAAGTTTACGATCCAATTCGTATATTTTATTTCTTCCATTGTAATATAGGAGTACTATATTTCAACCTTGATTTTGTGATCTAATTTCACAATTCAATATTTTAGAGCATATTTTACAGAGGTATGTATGGTAATATGGTATAACTCAAGTGGTTAGAGTTTTCTTCTCAATTTAAGGAGATCTTGAGATCGATTTTCACCCGTCCTTGTGATTCTTTAAGCACAAAAAAAAAACATGTAATAATAAGTTTAATTTATTATGCAGGATATGCTATCTCAAGCTGATAAGATTGAACAAGCAACAAGTTACGTAGTTAATTTGAGAGAAAGAATAGAGAACTTAAACAAGAGAAAAGAGCAACTAATGGTTAACCAAGAAGGAACGTCGTCCTCTAATACCGAAAACTTTAGTTGTAATGATACAACGATGATGACAAATTCCGGCTTACTACCCACCAGTATTGAAGTGAAAGATTTGGGTAGTGTTATAGAGGTCCAACTTGTGGTGCAACAAGACCGCGATATCAAATTACATGAAGTGATTAGGGTTCTTGAAGAAGAAGGAGCTGAAGTTGTCAATGCTACTTTCTCAACTCATGGGAATTATGTCCTCCACACTCTCCATGCTAGGGTAACTTCATTGTTTTTTATTTTTTTTAAAGTTGATGTTGGATACAAACGTTAATAATGCTAAATTTTATTAAAATATTTATTTGATTTAAAAATAATACAGAGGTCAAGTGAATTTACATAATGTGTTACAAATTAATTTTGCTTTAATTATGGGATCTTTTATCAAAATGGCTAATTTAACAAAACTATTTCTCAAAACGGTTAATTATCAATTTTAATTCCAAAACTCGCTAGATGATTGACTTGAAAGAAAATTATTTATTTCTTTTTTCCTTTGAACCGGAAAGATTAACTTGTTTGGGGTTTTTTTTTTAAATAAAAATTTTGCTTTTTTTAAAAAAAATAAATTATTTTATAGTTGAAAATTTTAAAGGCCAATAATTTTGTACATAGTATATGGCCTTAAATTATTCCCTGTTTTTTTTTTTTTTTTTTTTGGAAAAATTCTAAAGCCATAGTTTAAAATATCTATTAATTTAGGAAATAACATTCAACCTAATATACTTGAACAACTCTCAACTTTTTTTATTAAGTTACACCAAATTAAAAATCACTCAAATTGTTCTAAACTTCCAATTAACAGAAATTAGCCGACATTAGAGAGAGCATACAATTAGTGAACATGAAAAAGATTTTTATTTTTTTTTTAATCTTGAAATTAAGGTTTTTTTATGAGAGACTACATATATTTGTATATAGCCTTTAAATTTTCCACCTAAAAAACCCAATAAATAAATAAATTAAAATAAACCCAAAAATTAAAAAAAATAATAAAAGAAAAAAAAAAGTGAATTAAACCAGTTCAAACGAAAATAAGAAATATATAATTTCTTTTAAGTCAATATTTTAGCTAGTTTTGTAATTAAAATTTCCAACTAGCCGTTTTAGTAAATACTACTAATTTCTGAATTAATAAACTGGTTATTTTTATTTTTAATTTGTAAGGAGTATAAATCTTAATACAAAGAATGATCCAAAGTTAAATAAAACATTAATTTGTTTTTACAAGGAGAAGAATTTTATTTTATTTTTTTTAAAAAAAATCCATACAACATCTAAAACTGCATTTCTTCCTAAACATGAACGACTAGATGAAAAAAAATCATTCGATCACATTTCTTCTCTAAAACATCATAGCAAATAACTGTACATCTCGTGTAAATTAAAGTTGCCCTAAAATGATCAAAAGTTACCTTGAAATATTAAAAATTACCTCAATATAAATAAAAATTACCCTTATATAAACAAAATTTACCTACTCGCATCGTATGATTTATTGGTAAAGTTATTCTATGTAAATGAGTAAAAATCAAATTTAAGTGAGTAAAAATCATATTATGTAAATGAGTAAAAACCAAATTTATCCCATTGTCTATTTATATTAAAATTATAATATGTTTCAAGTTATCCAAAGAAGGTTAAAAGTTACCTTATATTGACTAAAAGTTACCCTAAAACTGTTCGATGTACATTAATATTATTGTAAACCGAGTATATACATAAGCTTTTGGTAATTAATAATGGCATAAGGGTTTGTTCACATTTACTAAACCGAGTTGAGCTGAACTGAACTGATTGGAGCTGAACTGAACTGAATTGAATAGAGCTAAAATGAATAATTTATGAGAGAAAGAAATTAGGAGCGGAGCTCAACTGGACTAAACAGATTGGAACTGAATTGAACTGAGCTGATTGGAGCTGAACTGAACTAAACTGAACTGATTGGAACTAAACTGAAATTAAGCTGAAGTAAACAGGCACTAAATTACCGTAAATAAGTATAATTAGGTGAAGGAGGTTTTACTTGAAGCATTGTAGTATCAACATGTCACAAAATATAACATTATGTTAGTAATAATATTTCTAAATTAGATCAAATGCTAAACTAGATGTGCAACTTTTGTAAAAAAAAAAAAAAAAAAAAAAAAAAAAAAAAGGTTATAAGGAGTATATAAGTATATGCTTTTTTTTTTTTTTGGATACCGGAGTATAATATACTTCCTATATATGTAATTTGTATTTTTCTAAGAATTACAAAAATATTTTCAGCATTAAAAAAATTATGCACCTTAAATTCGATTGGAAAAAGAAATAAAAAAAATAAAAAATAAAAAATTGACATTTATTCTTTGTTCACATTTTTAAGAAATTTCTCATTAAATTCCAAACCTATATTTTTTTAGTTTTTATTTTTTGAAGGAAAATTTCAACCTTATATAATACCTCCCTTATATATATATATATATATATATATATATATATATATATATATATATATATATTGAGTCACCTATAGCAAATATATAATTCAAGAAAAAAAATTGAAAATGTTGGATGGATGTAAAAAAAATTAAAGAGAGTATGAAAAAAATGGGTAAGTGCAAAGATAAAGTAGAATATATAGGTGTGTAAAAAGGTTAGTAAATATATGCAAAATTAGGTGAAAATGACAAGGTATAAATAATATTGTAAAGTAAACATGGTAAGGTTGTAAGAAAAAAGTATTTTGTACTTACTAGTTATTATATATGCCAAGAATCTACCTTCAATTATTATTATTCTATTTTTTTTATAGTAAGATGAAAAAAAAACCCCTACTGAATCAACACTTGAGTGTAAAGGGGGATGTTAGGGAATCCCCCTACTCCCAAGCATTTTGTAGTTGGTGGAGGTCGAACTTGTGACCTCAAAGTTACAAGGTGAATTCCCCACCAACTCTACCAGGTTTTGTTGGTAAAAATCTACCTTCAATTGGTTGTTTTGTTGGACAAAAAGATTGCTGCAATTGAGATTGCGGTGTATAATACAAGGTTCATGGGTATGCAATTTTTTTTATTATTGCTGCAATTGAAACGGAGGGAGTATTTTTTTTTTTACAAAAAATTGCTGCAATTGGTTTTTTTTTTTTTAAAGATTTAATGGCTTTTATTTAGATACCTTAATACCCCGTATAATATACTGGTGTAAATTTTAATGAGCCACAATTATCTTCCTTCCCATGTGAAGTTCCATGTATGAGATTGAGACAAATTTTTGGTCAATAAAACCGAAATCAGGGTAATTTGGTGAGCTCATATGTTTGAAATTAACTTTGCTAATTAATTTAGGAATGTAATCACGATTAAAATAATATTTGTAGCACTAAAATGTCATATTGAGGAAGTACTCGTATAACATAAGAATTTGTCTTATTGTACAGGCTCGAAATCCCAGAATTGGAATTGTGACTTCCATAGTGCAGGAAAGATTACATGAGCTGATCTGATTTTATGTTCTTTGAGTTTCATACCTGCATGTAAGTATAATTCTTTTACCGTTGATTTTAAGAGTATTTAATGTTTAATTTCTACATATGCGAAGTTGATTGTTTTATGTTACTTCAATTCGTACGGAAAATATTTTAGATAAGGACTTTCTTGATCTTGTCAAATTAATTGTTTCCTATAGAGTACATATTTTTTAAAGGAACAATATTTCCTACGAGTATAACTTTATTCTAACTATTACTCCGTATTATTTTTATTTTTCAGTAGCTAATTGGAACCTGACCAAATGGGACCCACATATTGTTTTGTTTTTTTCTTTTTTTGATCTTTAATACTACCTCCATTAAAGGTTATGTGCAACAATTTGACATAAAACAGAGAGGAAAAATGTATAATCGTTGCACATAACCTGTAACGGAAGTAGTATTATTTTTTTAAAGTAAGATACATGTAGGATATTAGGCATGTCTTCTCAGCTCGTAAGACCGTGACCTAAACTATCAAAGAGTAAAAAATAAGAAAATTTACTATCTAAAAATACAAGTATGAAACTTGAAAAGGAATCCAAAATTGTCTTGATATTCGTCATAAGAAGATGATGAAGGCAATAGTTTCTACAAGGAATTGAAGACTGGACAAGTGAGTGAATAGAGTAAAAATCCAATTGTTGAAATTAAAGTGATTGGACATAAATTCTCCAATAATATACTAGCTAACTATATATAGTGATTAAGGGTCTGTTCACATTTAATGAAATGAAATGAAATGAATATTTTATAAGAGAAGGAAATTGGGAGCTGAACTGAATTGATTGGAGCTGAACTGAATTGAAATTAAGCTGAAGTGAACATACCCTAAGTTTAAATTACCGCATATATTTTAGATTTTTATGAAAAAACTATTTTATAAAAAAATACTTTAAGAAACTACCTTATCAAATACTAAACATTGTAAGCAGCTATCCCATGCCATATTTCACTAGTAGAAAAATGGAGGTGCCCACCGGTTTTGAACCAGTGGCAATTCTGTGATTTGACACCGGTTCAATTTAACTATGAAAGAGAAAAGGAGTTGGAGTTATAAGAGGGCAATTGGGTAACTGGGTGGGAAATGAATAATCATTAACACTATGTTTGAATAACACTAGAAAAGGTAAATGGAGGGGAAGGAAAAAGAGTGAGATGAGGGAGAAGGTGAGCTTCTGTTTATCTTCCAAATCTCTCCGACAATTGAGAGGTTTGGTTTATTAAAAGGGGAAAGAAAAATGGGTTGTTAACTATGAACTTTTAATTTTCTATAAACTTTTCCAAAATTGATTTATCTATATTGTTAGTGTTGTTATAATTAAAACTCTATCACGCATTTCCGCCCTCTCACATGAGAGTTGGTTGATCTTATAATGTGGATGTAACACGAGTTTTATCATAGCTCGCGCTAAATATTTTACTTGAAAGAAGGTGCGAAAGAGATTTAAAATTGTGACCTTAATTAGTTTATGTAACATTGACTCTTTATACAATGTTAAAAAAAATTATCTCAATTAAAAGCTTAATTTAAGTTGATGAAAAATATCCATTGTTGATTTATAATTTCTCCTTTTTTTAGTTGCACCATTTGCCATTTCACCATTGCCGATGCAATACTTTGAAAAGTAACAAGACAAATCTAGCAAGATCTCACATGACTATAGTTTTCTTTACGGATAAATTATAAAAGATGGTCAAATATGGTTGTGTGAATAGTAGTGTAAAATCCCAAATGATATAATTAAAATAAAAATGGAGGAAATACGGAGTATATTCTATCAGCTAGCATGTAGCAACATACATTAAACATAAATGAATACTCTTTCCGTCCTTATTTTTTGCCCTATTTGACTTATCACGATCTCTAAAACGCATCTTAAAGCGCATATAATAAAATATATGATGAAAAGAATTTAACAATGTCTACCGGACTATATAATCTGATCTCTCTTTGATTAATGAGAATTTCTTATCAAACTTTTAAAGTTTGATCCCAAATAAATGAAGACAAAGGAGAGAATTAAGAGTGAATTTCAAAAGAAATGCATTCCGGCTCTTGCGGTGACCAAAATAATAAAGTATTTAATGATATATTGAAAAGACAAAATGATCCCATCAAAAAAAAAAAAAAAAAAAAAAAAGACAAAATGAT